TCGTGGGCTTCCTCTCCCATCCTCCCTCACCCGCCAGGGACTACCACACCCATCGCAACCCAGCATCAAGAGCTATGGGGTCTTCCGGGAGAGGGCAACGGTCGCCGTAAAAGCACCACGTTCGAAGAGGCTTCGGTAGGGGAGGGTTGCAGCCGGACGGCTCCTGCACTTGTCACCCACCCTGGGCCCAGTCAACATAAAGCTTTCGTGGACAGGGGAGCTGCTCGGTGCCCCCCCCGGAAGTGGACTCTAATGGCCGGGGGGCAACCACCAAGGAGATCTGGCCTCCCGCCCCCTAAATGCACAAGTAACCAGACATCCACGGCTGAGTTTTAAACGGGGAGGTTTGGGGGCTTGAGGGGGGGGCTGCGGTATTCTCAAGGCGAAACAACATCGTTGGAGAAATAATTGAGGGTTGGAGCAGCTGGGGGGGGACGAAAACCTGGACGCTGTGAAATCTGCAACCTGCCGGCTGCAATGGGCCCACTAACGCGATGCACAAACACAGCTGTCGTGTAAAGAGGGGATATCTCCCTGCCCGAGCTGTTATGTCCCCCGAATCTCCCTCATCTGGTACCTAGGCTGGGTAACTTCCACCCTGCCCGGCTGTTGTAGCGCTATGGGAGAGGGAAAGGGAAATACCTTGAGATCTGTTGGCCTCCCACCATGGATCATTTTGCACGCCCCGGCGTTATGCCCTTCCCCTCCCCACCGTCTTTGTGCTAAGCTCAATAGCACCAACCATCATCCTCTTTCCTTTCCACAGGGCGGGCAGGCCGCTCATGCCTCTGTACCCCCCCTCACGCCTGCTTGCTCTCCCCCCCAGCTTATGACCTACATTCCATTCCTGCCCCTTCAGCCGTTTGCCCTTCAGGAAGGCAAGAAAAGAAGGAAACAGGGAGCAGAAAAACAGGATTTCCCTTGAAAAGTGTGTTGGAAGGCTTGGAGAGGAGATGCAAAGAAGGAGGGAGGGAATCAAAGCATCCATTCGGTTTGGAAAAATAGAAATAGACTATTCCCATATTTCAGTTGTGGCTACTCAAGTGAGAAACTGGGACAAACAACCACCCAGCACCGCGGATCTGATCTGAGGAACCCAAGACTTCCGACCGACAGCAACGAGGACCCCGTCGGATCCTGACTCCCAGTCTTCTATTTTTTGCAATCCCTCCCAAGCGAAATGTAAGGAAAATCATCGGGGATGAATTTTGTCCTGGGTCCTGCATCCTGCACATTGGCATTTACGGATACCCAGGGAAAGAAAACAGACATCGGGACCACAGGTCAGAACACAGAAGGGCCACGAGCCCAGGGAAATCGGCACGCGCACCTGGAGAGTCTCCCGGCAAACGTAGGCAATCTGTTTCTCCGAGAGGGGGCCGGTGGCTGAAAGAGAGAAACAGAAGCCAGGATCCAACTGCATCAGATGGGGCTGCCCACGCCCTTCTGCCATCATCATCCCCCACCCACCCACCTACCAACAACACAGCAGACACACATTTGGGAAGAACAGGTTTCGCGTTTGTTATCTGGCTCCCTGGATCTTTGTGCTGAAACTTTAGCGGCGGGTGATATACTCTCCTGCCAACCTAGCCGTTCGAAAGCATGTAAAAATGCGAGTAGATAAATAGGGACCACCTCGGTGGGAAGGTCACGGCGTTCCGTGTCTAGTCGCGCTGGCCACGGGACCATGGAAACGGTCTTCGGACAAACGCTGGCTTTACGGCTTGGAGACAGGGATGAGCACCGCGCCTGAGAGTCGGACACGACTGGACTAAACGTCAAGGGGGAACTTTTACCTTTACCTATATACTCATACTGATACCAGAAGTGGGGGGGGGGAGACTTTCTGATTTAACGAAGACAGGGGATCCTGCAGTGATTGGAGGCGGCTTTCTCCATAGCACGTGCCTCATTTGAAGAAGAACAAAGGGGAATCCGGTTTGGGCACGCTGGGTCACAAACAATGCAAGGAAGGGGCAGATTCCCCCCAAAAGCGCTTAGGTAGGAAAGTTCTCTGTACATGTGCAGAAACCCTTCTGGGGATCACAAAGAAGAATCCTGAGTCTTCCACTTCCCTGCCCAACCACCAGACCAGCTCTCTGTTGGAAAAAGCACCTTTCCCTCCGTTTCTTCCTCAAACCCAGAGATGAAAAGGACTGAAAAGAGTATTTTTTTCCCCAGCCTTACTGAAGTTCCTGTTCTAATCTTCCCTTCCCACATCCATCCACCCACCCAAGCACACGGCCCACAGTCAGCAAAAGGGGAAGGAAACGTGTCCAGAAATGAAACAGGCATCATTATTGCGACACGCCCGACGGCAGAAAGATTTCCGCTTTAGTCAAGGGGGTGCTGCACGAGAGCGGAAGGGGGCGGGCGGGGGTGGCTGGAGTGGAACGGAGGTCTAAAAGTCTTTACACCCAAGGAAGAGAGAGAGAGAAGGTCTGCTAGCCTGTTCCCTGGCCAGACTCTCCCTCCCACTCTCTCCAGCCTGAGATATTCCGTGTTTATCTACGAAGCTGAACCGAAGCATCCAGTCTCTGCATGTCTGGAATTCTGCACTGAACCAGGACAGACAAAACCGGTGGAGCAGAAGGGATGATGATAAAAAGGAAGGGAAGCGCATTTTCTCAGAGCTCAACAAAACACAGCACAGGCCTAAACGCTCTGATATCTACCTGGCCAGAGTAGCGTTAAGGAATCTTACTTTTTCAGACAACAACTCTTTGAACTCCCCCCGTTAGCCTTGGGCTCAAAGGAGAGACCACTTTGAAAATCAGGTCACCGAAGCAGGACAATATGAAAGGTCCTTCGATCCCAGGCAGAAACTTACCATTGTAGATCTCCTGCAGAGAACCTCCTCCACAATATTCCATGCAAATCCACAGCCGGTCCTTCCTACGGCACAACAAAGCAGGACATATCATCATGGAGCCAGAAAAATCCATGCACAACTTTTTATTTTTATTTTTTCTGTAAAAGAGCACTGCCAGGCAGATTTTGCTCTCAAATTTCTCGACAAGTCTCTGAAAGAGAGAGGGGCAACTTGCGAGGAGGAGGGGGAGACCCTGGATCTCCCCTCCCCGACACAACGGGAACAATAGGCCACGCTAACGTCTCTGCCAAATTCGGTCTGTGGACTGACCGTTCTGGAGAGGGTGGCAGAGTGTTCCAGTGTTTGTAAGAACAGGCAGGAGAGGTGAAGGCGGTTTGGAGGTGGTCCAGCCCATGAACTTCTCTAGACGGAAGATCGCTCCTCTCACACACGATCGTTCCCGAGAGGAAGGGGCGATTTCACCATCCTGAGGTTTTGGGCTACAACTCCGGAATTCCCGGCCATTGGCCCTGTCGGTTGGAACGTCTGGGGTTTGAATTTGAAAAAAACACACCAGGAAAACCAAAGGTTCCCCCATTACGGCTTTACCCTTCAAGGTATAGGATGATGAAATCGGAGCAGAAAAGCAAGTATTTTTCCACAGGTCAAAGAGGAACGTAGTATTCTGTTTGCGGACCGTGTGTAAATTTTATTTGAATACATAGGAAAAATAAGGCCTTGTGGGAAGGCAGGCTAAGAAATATCTGTTTTTATCATGCCAGGGCCATTTGAGAGAAGCCCAGCCTTGAGCCAGGTGGAATGAAGTCTCTGACCATGGGCAGAGTGCCACATCCTTCTCAGTCAAACCCGGTCCTCCAGCTCATTAACCCAGAACTGGAAACGGTAAGGGAGGGCGGGCTTGAAGTTTGGAGCAAGGGTGAGTCGGTTTTGGCCTCGCAGAACGTGATGGATCTTAACTCCCATCAGCCCCAGCCACCTTTGCTCACAAAGATAGGGGATAGACTCCAAAACCCATAGATGCAGTCCAAAGACGAAGTGCTTAAGTCGCTTTAAGTCCCTGCATCTTCCACTGTGGGCAAAAAGCATGAATATGGCCAAAGCTTCGAAAAGTTCATTTCAGTGGTCATATGCCGCCTTGAGGATTCCTGGATTATCATCGTTGTTATTTCAATTTACTGTATTTTTCTGTGTATAAGACTATACTTTTGTCTAAAATCTTTAGACTAAAAATTGAGGGTCGTCTTATACACGGAAGTAAGCTGAGGAGAGAACAAAAACAAGTGGAGGGGAAAAGCAGGGATCAAAGCAATCCTGCAGCGCTTTGATCCCTTTCCCCCTACACTTGCCAAGCCCCACTTAGATTTCTTAATTTTGGATTAGAAAAGTGGGGGGGCGTCTTATACACAGAAAAAAATATGGTATATCCCACTCAATCATGCTAGAGGGCAGTTTACAACAGAATTAAGTAAGGAACGCTTCGCGCGCCCCCAGCAAGCTGGGTACTCCTTTTACCTCCCTCGGAAGGCTACGTCAACCTTGAGCCAGCCCCCAGAAGCTGCTGGGATAGAGCTCAAATGGTGAGCCAAGGCTTGGCTACAGTACTGCAGCTGAACCACTGTGCCATGGGGCTACTCCAAAAAAAATTAATCTTTTCTACGATATTTCCAACCCGACTGTTTTTTGCTCCAACCATCTCATTTCCAAAGAGACTGCCTCGTTTAGCCAGCATCTTGCTCCATCCTGTTTCCACTCCCTGTTCCAAAGCCCCCCCCCCAGGTCTCACCTGAGGTAGCTGCCGAAATATGCCACCACGTTGGGGTGGCGACAGTCCCTGAGGGTGGTGATCTCTTGCTGGATGGCTCCAATGTCATCCCCTGGGGAGATAAAACGGAGGAAACAGTTTCTGTTCTATAGAGGGATTTGTCTTCCACATCCATAACTTCCAAGGGTGAGTGATAATTATGCGCCATCAACTTGACTCTTGCTGGCGGCAACGCTTACACCGTTTTCTGTGTAAAGCTTACACAGAAGTGGCTTCCCATTCCATTCTTCTGGGGACTGTGCAGCTTGCCCAAGGCTACACAAGCTGGCTCTTTCTCCTATAAGGCCCAGCGGGGAATTGGACCCCCCCCAACCTCTGGGTCAGCAGCCAGGTGTTCCAAAGTCCTCCAGCCAGCATCATTTTTAATTAGGCAGTCTCAAATTCCAAAATGTTTTGGCAAGTTTACTTCTTAGCAATACTGCCAGCCTATTCCTCGGTTGCATTTTGATTTCGTAAACGCCGCAAAAACAATACCTTTTGATTTCATAAATGCCACAAAACAATCCATCCTGATTTCATCAATGCCACAAAACAATCAAGTCATCTAATGTACAATCCTGCTACGGATTCATGTACCTTTTGATTTCGTAAATGCCACAAAACAATCAAGTGATCTAATGTACAATCCTGCTACGGATTCATACCCTACTACTAATACCTTAAACCTGGCTCAATTTGTATTGCAATTATTTTTTTCCATAATATTGCTTTTTACCTGCACAACTCCAATCCTTAGGCTATGAGCAATTCTGAACTTTACAGTCCCATGGGTAGATTTGTGCTTCTATAGGTTTATATACATAGGCAGTAATCCCAGTTTGTCATTTCTGGACTTTAGGAGGTAGGAGGCTGAGCCACCCTTCACACTTAGCTCCACCACCCCACAAGCCGCCAACTGCTTCCTGCCTCTCAGTTTGAACCACCACTTTTCATTAACTTGGCCCATCCTCAGGACTGTAGTAAATAACCAAACCTGTTGTGTGTGTGTGTCACCCCATGGAATATTGGTTCAGCCCAAAGGGGTGAGACTAAGAAAGAGAAGGGGTGTGAGTAAGAGGTTTGGATCTTAGAAAGAGCAGGAGAGCTAAAGGGGCCAGAGTTGCTCTTGCCAGTTGGACTACTAAGGCGTTTGCCAACTTGGTTTAGGTACTACAGTGGTGCCTCGCAAGATGATGTCAATTCGTTCTGCGAAAAACGCTGTCTTGCGAAAACACTGTCTTGCAAAGCGTGGTTCCACATTGGAATGCACTGAAATCTATTTAATGTGTTCCAATGGGGAAAAATTGTCGTCTTGCAAAAATCGTCCATAGAAAACATCGTTTTGCCAAGCGCAACAGCGATCGCAAAAAACAATCGTCTTGCGGATTAATCGTCCCGCGAGGCAATCGTCTTGCAAGGCACCACTGTATAGTCTTTATATGCTTATGCTGGAGGTGTGAATTCACATAGTGAATTCATGAATTGCACACAATTGCACTGTTATTTCATTTTAAGGTTCTGAAGATTCTCCTTTGTTAAGAACACCCAACCCACTTGAAGAAGATATTTCCGATGTTCATCTGACTTTGTCTGACAAATGGAGACTTGAACTTTGCAAATTTTACAAGCGACCGCTATCATTATAATTGTTACTGTTGTCCGTTATATGAACGCAAAAAGAAAAGACTTGATTTGTGAAATTGTTTGCAAGATGTATTCATAGTAAGCCAATAGCCCCATAGAACTTAAAAGTATGTGTACTGCCATCGATCCTGCTATGCGGGCAGCTTCCTTCAAAAATAACTCAACAACATATTAGTGTGTATGTTGTATATATAAATACACGCACACTGACACTAATTGTAACTGTTTTATCTTGTCATGATCTTTAACTATATATATTTATTGCACCAGTCCAAGACCATGGCAAGATAAAACAGTTACAATCAGTCAGACTAGGATCTAGTAACAGTAAAAACAGCTAAAATTAGGGCAGGAGACCTTAAAAAAATATAAACATGCATGTTAGGTATCTTTAAGTCGGTATTTTAGGTACCTTTTAAAAGAACACTTTACTTATGAGATAGATGAATCAGTTACAGGTGGTATTTGACTGTGGTTGCATTAAGACGTACTAAAATTAGGGGCAGGGAGAAATTTAAGGACTCTGTAGACTAGAACCAGCAGCGATCTCTGAAAATACCATAGCACAAACGTAATCTGATAAACTCACTAATATATTAGTGGATTTGAGTCGTCGGCTAAACGGGTGTTATGGACTCTTGAGCTGGTCTTGCACGTGTTCTGTGCTGACAAGTCGGAACGACCCTAAAAAGGGATTTCCAGGCAAGTCGGAGGTTTAACCAGTTTACCCAGTTTACCCAGTGGGGTTCCAGGGCCAAGTGGGGACTCCAACGCTGTTCTCCAGAGCCTTAATCCATCACTCTATCCTCTACACACACCGCACTGAGCTGGTCTTACCTGGATCAATTTTCACAATCTTAATGGCGGCCAACTCCCCACTCTCCGTGTCACGGGCCTGCGGGGACGAAAAGGCAAGGAATGTGGGCTGGTGGCTTGCAGGCAACCCTTTCTCATGTATTCGCGAAGGCTTTCACGGCCAGGATCTAATGGCTGTTGTGGGTTTTTCGGGCTCTTTGGCCGTGTTCGGAAGGTTGTTCTTCCTAACGTTGCTGTCCTCTGAAGAGGCCGGCCACAGAGACTGGCGAAGGAAGAACAACCTTCAGAACACGGCCAAAGAGCCCAAAAAACCCACAACAACCCTTTCTCATGTCTCTGTTGTTTTCAGAACAGAGAGCATTCCTCCTCCTCCTCCTCCTTTGGGTCACACAACCAACTTTTCATTTGTAGCAACGCCCTGATTTTCACCACCACCCTGATTTTCACCGGCCAACCAAGATGACTCTCAAGATGAACTCACCCGGTCATGAAACCAAGCGGGGCAGCGGCCCTAGGCAGCCGATTTTGGGTGTCCTCATTGAGTCGGGCCGAAAACCAAAGGCTGGCATGACTCATCCATACATTTTCTGATCAGGATACACGAGTAAAAATTTGCCCAAAACAACACTGTTTCCGCACACAATATTCACAGGAAACATCTCGCCCGTTTTTCCACAGCCCTGTCATGCTCTCTCCAGTCATGCGACCAACCTGCGAGCTAGCAAGGAAATTTGCAACCTTTGAATGCTATAAATACTCTCGCCCTCTCTCACAACACAGCTTTACGTGTATATCACAGGGATATGTGAACATGCATGGGTTATGGGGTGAATCCGTATGTACACCAGCTTTCTTTTACCGTATTTTTTCCATGTATAAGAAACGCCCATGTATAAGACACCCTCTAATTTTTTAACCCAAAATTAAGAAATCTACGTGGGGCTTAGCAAGTGGAGGTGAAAGCAGGGATCAAAGTGATCCTGCAGTGCTTTGAACCCTGCTTTCCCCTCCACTTGTTTTTGTTCTCTCCTCAGCTTACTTCTGTGTATAAGACGACCTTCAATTTTTAATCTAAAGATTTTAGACAAAAGTATAGTCTTATGCATGGAAAAAATACGGGTACATAAATTTTGACATTGTTGCCATCTTGGATTCATAATATACGTTTACGGGTTTCACTGCTTCTAAAAATGTGTAAGCAGAATAGACCTTTGGTCTAGATGGGTGAGGTAGAAGTCTAATAAATAAATAAATAAAATATACATACAAATCACACATGACCTATTTAAATACCAATTTTGCAAGGAACAAAACATGACACAAACTCAAGCTTTTCCCAAATAACCCTTCTCGTTATTTCTATACAAACAAAGGAAGTACATAATTTTTGATCAGACACGCTGATTTCTACAGGAGGAGGTTTAGAGCATATTTTGGGTGATCTCTTATCTATTTTCTAGTAATGTTTATGTTCCACCTTACTTTCAGTGAGAAAATAATGTAGATTTTCTTTTTCTTTTGTTGAAGGGAAAAAATCAATGGTATGCTGTGGTTTTGCTGTCATTTGGGAGGGGTTCTGACTCAGCCACAAAACATACCTCACCTTAGGCCAGTTACCTGATCTACCTCACAAGAGGTATGTTAAAAATGGGTAAAAAATAGTCAAGAAGACAACAGCTACGCACACCCTTTTGACCTTCTGAAAAAAAAGAGGCCGGTTTATTTAAAAGTAATAAATAATATTACTCATTAATTTTTTCCTAACGAAATCAACACATCTAAGTCTAGTCAAAAATCGCATACATGCATACACAGAGATGTACGTAAGGTGTGGGCAGAATTAAAAATGTTAATACTTTCTAGTCTGCTAGTCCTCATCCTAGGGACTGTTTTTAAGTCATAAAAAGCTCAGAAATCCAACTAAATAAAATTAAAATTGCATTAATTAAAAAAATACTGGTTGCTTGTCCTTAATAAAGGATGCTCTTTGTTCTGAAAAACGTCTAGGGTTTAAATCCCATTTCATTTTTATTCATCTTTTAAATAAGCAGCTCTGGGGATACAGATAACTTTCCTCTATCTTCACGGCCTCCCCATGAAATAGGTGAGAGCTGATCACCGAGGAAGCTCTGGGCTTGACCAGGGATATGCAAACAGTCAAGCCCCCTAGCCACTAGACCGCACTGCTTTTTAAACATCATTAAACACTCCAGCTGGCCTAACCCAGAGGATTGTGGCAAAGATAAAACAGGGGAAGGCAAGCGCTGCATTTGGGTTGAAGAAGGGTGAGACAGAAATGTCACTGATAAATTATCAATCAATCAATCAATCAATCAATCAATCAATCAATATCAATCAATCAATCAATCAATCAATCAATCAATCATGTGCTGTTTGCTTTATTTTAAAATATTTTTAGTTCCTTTTTCTCCATTGAAAGGACCCAAGTGGCTTAAGACCATCGGAAGACCGCGTTTAAGCTAACCACCATAAATAGACAATGCTAAAAGGATCGAGGAATACAATACGGAAAAAAGCTTCGGAAGGCCATGCCTCGCCAGGCGCTTGCCATTGGCCTCTGAGGATGTGCAAAGTGCACATCTCTCTCTTGGCCAGCCCTCACACAGAGAAGCTGACGGTCCGGGAACAGAGGAGAGCCTGCAACAGTTTGTTTATTATTATTATTTTTTTAAGCAGCCTACTACGGGAAGAGGGAGGTCAACTCCACTGCATTTCAACAAGGCAGACAATACAAACCACTCCTGCTCAGTAAAAAGGTCACTCCCTGCTCCTTCTTGTTCAGCCGGATGTGCTAGTAGAAAGGATGTCAAGTGTGGGTGTGGGAGTGACAGTGAAACAAACACAGAGGGGGGGGAAGCATCTTGATTTATCTGCAGGGGGAGGCTTGGTTACTTTCAAAGTTTAGGCACAATTACTGTATTTTTCAGTGTATAAGACGCCCCCCTCACTTTTCTAATCCAAAATTAAGAAATCTAAGTGGGGCTTAGCAAGTGGAGGGGGAAAGGGATCAAAGTGCTGCAGGATCGCTTTGATCCCTGCTTCCCCCTCCACTTGTTTTTGTTCTCTCCTCAGCTTACTTCCGTGTATAAGATGACCCTCAACTTTTAGTCTAAAGATTTTAGACAAATGTATAGTCTGATACATGGAAAAATACGGTATTTACCCAAAGTCAGGCATCTAAATTGATCCAGGTCTGTGTATAACCAACAAGGAAAGGGCTCAATTTTTAAAAAAATTCCTAACAATTTAAAGGACACACAAAAGCGCTGTATAGAAGCCTGAAGGCCACGTGATTTAGCACGGATTCGAAGGATCCATTACCTCAAAGAGATGCTTCTGATAACTTATTTCCCGGCTAAAGATGTGGATCATAATCACCAACCTTCACAGTGAAATAAATTGGATAGTCTTAAAGGTGCCTCATTATTTAATCTTGTTTTTATGGTTAGCAAAACTCACTTCTCTTTAAAAGTTTTATTGTAGTTTTAGGAACTATATTTTCCGTTTCTGTTCTATTATTAGTTGTGGTTCCAAATATATTTATTTGGATTGTCTTGTTTTTGTCCACTTTTGTTTCGTTCAGTGTTTTTCATCTATGAAACTATTGTTAGCTGAGCTGACCTCAGCACGCTTTTGGAGCAGAAAGTTTTTGAAAGTTTTTTTATTTTAAATCATGTCATAAAATAAGGATGTGACGAGGAAGGAGACTGGATGGCCTTTCGCCGCAGGAAGGGAGGGGAAAAAAAGGTCAAAACACACACGCACCAGAAAAAAAAAACCCTACATTTTAGAGAGTCCACTTATACTTTGGGGGCACTTTGCCCCCTCATTCCCCCTGCTCCAAGCTGAGAGAATCCAGGCAAAGCTTGATTCAAATCTGTGGACTCAAGGAGTGACTTCCGTGACAAAAATAGGAAGCCGCCTGAAAAATGTCTTGCATTGGGTTGCTAAGGGAGCTAAGACGGACCAGGGAAAAGAGGGACCTCTCGGATCGCACACTCGGACAATGCTTACAAAGCCTCCCTGAAGTTGAGGTCCTTCAGATGTGCTGGACTACACCTCCCATCCTCTCTAGTTCTCCGATGGTGGCGGGAGTTGTAGTGTCACACTTCTGGCAGGCGACCGGTTTGGGGAAATATCACTGCCTTCTCAACTGTAAACATAGGTTGGCGTGAGCCCTCCAAACGTTGCAAGACTAGAACTCCCATCTCGCCCTCCATACGTTGCAAGACTAGTACTCCCATCTGGCCCTCCATACATTGCAAGACTAGAACTCCCATCTCGCCCTCCATACGTTGCAAGACTAGTACTCCCATCTGGCCCTCCATACATTGCAAGACTAGAACTCCCATCTCGCCCTCCATACGTTGCAAGACTAGAACTCCCATCTGGCCCTCCATACGTTGCAAGACTAGGACTCCCACCTGGCCCTCCAAACGTTGCAAGACTAGAACTCCCATCTGGCCCTCCATACGTTGCAGTACTAGAACTCCCATCTGGCCCTCCATACGTTGCAAGACTAGAACTCCCATCTGGCCCTCCATACGTTGCAAGACTAGAACTCCCACCTGGCCCTCCATACATTGCAAAACTAGAACTCCCATCTGGCCCTCCATACAGTACATTGCAGGACTAGAACTCCCATCAGCCCTAGAACCTATCAACCCTCGCAGTACCCTCTGTGCATGTGCAGAGCGCTCCACTACCGCCACAAAGTACTCTCACAAACTGAAGCCACGCGTTAGGACACCTTCAGTTTAATCTGCTCCTCTCACTCCATATCCAGCCAGGGTAATAAATTTTGAGCGCCGTAGTAGGACCTGGGAGACCGGGGTTCAAATCTCCACATCACGCTCACCATCAAGAGACTCCCTTCCCGGCAACCCTTCAAGACGCTTGGCTTTCGCAGCAAAATCTTCTTTACCCGCCACGGAGCTGTAAATAGAACCCAGGACCCCTGGTGCCCAATTGACTTCCTCCAACCCATTCCTGCCTTAAGAATCTCAGGAAATGCCGGACTGGGCCAGAACAATGCTCACGGCTGCGGGGGGCTCTCCC